AAGACAACTTCTAGTAGTGAAATGAAAATAAATAGCTTTTTACCTTCGGAAGTCCACTATTCTACTTGTATACAATGACTCATCCAAAAGTATGAGTACGTGATGGGTGCTCAAAATTCTTTAAACAAACTTGATTGTAGGATTCCTAATGTGTTTTAGATTTCCATCAATTGAAATCATTGCCTACTTTCATTATATAAATCAAAATTTTGCAAATGATGTGGAGATGCCAAGGCTATTTAACTGCAGTCTTCTCTAATGTCCCTTCATCCATGACTATGAGTGAGTTAATTGACCTAAAAGAGACAGCTTTGTTGGTCTTTCATGTCGTTTAAATTCTCATGCCACTTTAAATTTATTCCATATTACTTATATTTACCAAAGGGTTTGTTTTACTGCAGCGTTCACACTGAAATTATTGGAGTTATGTGGGTGGGGGGGGGGGGGGGGGGGGGGGAGAGAGGTGAAATTTGGGTTAAATGATGTCAATCAGAAATGCGAAAAACAAGAGCTGTAATCGATGGTTCTTTATCTGGGAATTCTATAGGTTCATTTTATGGCATTTTAAGACTTTAATTTCAAAATTGATGACTTCCACCTCTTCATGGAGTTATATCGATCGGAGGTGATGGTAAAACTCGTGCATAAGGACGATATCGGATGATGGCTCCTCTCACAGTTTCATGCAAAAAAATAATAAGTTATTTCATTAAATAAAATTAATCTCTCCTAGTGTCATTCCAATTTTTATAATCAAGTTAGTGCACAAAGCCGTGTGGTATTTCGAATTCAAGGTCTTTTATAATGTTTTCATATCAAAGACTTGCAATTGATTTAGTGTCTTGTGCACTTAATCGAGACCGTTTGAAGACGATATTTCGGCGTGCAATAAATTCCGAGCCACCGGCATGCAGTCTTTAACATCTTGATAATTGCTACTGAAGCTCGATACAAACATACGCAGACTTGTCTACGTGTCTGAACATGGTTTCGGTGTTACTACTACTTCTACTACCTCTGTTACCTTTGCTGCATTAACAGAAGTGGAAAGCGTGTTTCTTAGTGGCGCATCCACCGATGGTAATACAAACCCTGTCGCGTGGTTTTCGTTTGTACGAAAGCATTCGGGTGTGGCAAGTGCAAGTAATACTGACTAACTTACACTTAGCACACACCAACCCTCCCCTAACTAAGCCGTACCTCAGTGAGTGGATGACTCATCCAACCCCTCTCCACCAAGGCTATCATTTGGCTTCCCACTTGCTCTGACTATTAAAATGAAGGTCAGGGCGTAACACGCAGTCCTTCTAATGAATAACCTTTCCCACTCACTCTCCTCCCTCCCCAAACCCACCCCTCCCCACCCCACCCCCACACACACTCTTACCACCACTAATTTCAGGTGTGGAGATTATGAATGACTCTTCTTCCCAACTGCCTTCCCGTTTCTTTTCCATTCTCTTGTATTTTTTGCGTTTACTGATGATTGCCTAATGGATTCTAGAATTCTCACGAATCGTGTTATGGGAAGATGTTCAATTGCAATTTACCACTTTATTAGCAGGAAGAGGAATGAGATAAATTGGGAATATCTATTTAAAAATACATTGGACGAGCCGACTCTAAGGTGAGCTTAAATGGTGGCCGGAGTAATGTAACATTACCTTCAATCCATTACTGTAACATGTCCTTCGGCGAGATAGTTTGCTATATGATGGGATTGTGGCAGACTTTACTAACGAGTCAGCGCTTTATACTTGTTAAAATCATCTACAATTAAAGTGTAGGTATTTGTTCACATGCCTATTTACACAAAATAGGGGTCCGAGTTGTTGAATCCATGCAAGCAATGGAAATTTAATTTGGGACATTGTTCTGAAACGTAGGTTTACATTTACTACTTAAACAAATAGCATTCAATTTATCCCCCCCCCCTATCCTTTCAATTGGGAAGTTGACTAAAATAACTTATTCACATCTGTCTCACGCCAAACTGACTAATCTTTAATTAATCTTTAATAATAATAATTTTAGAAAAATAAAATAAAGGCAGCATCAATCATGCTTTGAATACCCATTACCTCTCTCTGTTATGCTAATGGGCGATAAGTCGCCACGCTATCTCCCATGAAGGTCACACATGATAGGTTTTTGTTTGTCCTCTTATTTAATTGTGTACTCATAATTTGTTTTTTTTGGGGTGTGGGGGGAGGAGGTGGAGGGGAGGGGAGGGAAAGTGGAAACAGCTATAGTCAAAGGGAGACTGAATAATTGGCTAATGCGTGCTGCAAATTAACAGTAAACATTTTAGATAACATTAAATTGGGTGGAAAGAGTTTCGCGAAATGGTGCTATAATCTGTATTACTGTTGCATCAACCTCCTTGAACTTATACATTTCGTTCCATAAGTACCGTATGTGTGACTGAGACCTAAGTGAAAACCTTGATGCACTTTAAGAATACAATTTACCATAATGACTTCATGTGACTAATCAAGTAGAATTGCTTCCTTCTAGAGGTCAATCTTGGCTACTCCAAAGGCTAAAGGAATGCCTTTTGTACTTAAAAGATAAATTTGACTACCAAAGTCCCTTGAAAGAGTTTTGAGAGTTTTTTTTAAAAGAAAGCCATCGAAGTCTACGAGTTCATAAATCGGGTCAGGATCGACAATAAAGTGGAGTTGCAGCATAAGATTTGCAAACGGGGAAACGAGGGACTTTCCAAACCATTGCAAACTCACCGAAAAATAGACAAAAGCCATTTTTAACCAGTTTTTTTATAAGGAGGGATCTAGACAAAAGGCTAAAAAGTGGTTGCTCAGAAAGGGGAGGGGAGGCTCAACGCGATATGGTTAATAAACAAACAATTCGATTGATATGCCCAAGGGAGGCTTAATGAATCGAAGGGAAAACAGAGAGGAGTAATAGATGGTGGTAGAGCAGATGAAGAGAAGTGAGGTAATTTCGAGTGTGGTAAAAGGTTTAGGCAAGAGGGATATTGACTGAATTATCTATCCTGCCCTAATTATTGAATTAAGGCGATAATAAAGTTTCAAACAAGTAGATCTCGATGTTGTGCACCCATTCCCTAATTAGTAAAAATAATGGTGCAAAAGAATCACAAGAACAGTAACTCCAAAAGCAATTGGAAGCATTTTTCCAATACTCACAAAGGATAGACAGGAAGCATTATGAAACTTCACTGAAGAGACTCAAATTCTCCCATCTTCCTTGTTAGACAAAATTAACCAATGCGATCGATTCCACTCACTCAATGGGCACGTGCCAATGGGTATCAAATCAGTGAGATTAGACCCTCTGTACAGATTCCAGTCACTCAGTTATTACTAAACTAAGTACATAACACAATAGAAGACATACAATGACGAAAACGCTAATTTGGTGGTAATTTGGTTACATTGATACTCAACGCTAGGTGGTTTTATGCATGACGATTCATTCCTCGTATTAATAATTGCATCGGTTACCAGTCATCAACCCCCGGTTACATATCTCTGGATTTGCGTTAAGCAAATCTTGAGGCTCGTACTCTGCAGCATCTGCAAATTATTGGAAAACGCAATAGCCCAAGTGCCAGTGATAGTGCTCTTATGCTCTTATGCAGTACGCAATCTAATGATCAATAAACGGATTTGTTTATCATTGACTTCCTCATACTCTTCTAACTATGCAGGTAGCAAGTTTCTTCACCTTGGGCCTCGGCCACACGTTACTATCCGGGGCGTTATATAAGGATGATGCATGGGTTGTGTATAAATTGGACATCACTGGGATCACAACCAGGAACCAATCAGCTTTAGTTTTAGGAGCAAATAGAAGAATAATAGTAGTTAATTCGAAATCTAATTAATAGCATTAGGTCATTCGAAAGAAGGATCCAGTGCACAAATCTAAATCCCGTTTTGCTCTTTATTTGTTAATGAAAGCAGTTTGGATATTGATTCTACCTATTTAACTAATCGATTGCGGTAACGAAGACTCAACACTTAGATGACAAGTGTAATTTCAAGCTGATAGTATATGTTATTTCCTTATTCATCTAACTTGTATTTAATCGTTCTACTTCGATCCCATTAACGAACAATCGAAATCCGAATTGATTTGTTTTAGCTCGTACCGTTTCCACACCGGTCTTTTCTTCTAACCCAAATGTAGGATTAAATCAGCTTGCCAATAAGAAAAGGTATTTTTGGGCTATTGTAGCCCAATATCAAGCACATTTAATTAAATTTACTGAAGAAAAAAGACAATCACTCAATATCTTCTTACAAAGGCCACCTTATTTTCATCTTGTTGACTTTGAATTTTCAGTAAGATAATCTTTAAGAGATTTTTCAGCGCTCACTTAATCTTTTCCAAAACAAACTTTGCTCAGAGTTAATTCAAAAGCGACATCCTCTTTGACAAATCTTGCAACTTTGAAGCACATTTGCCAAAACAAATTAACCTAAGAGGACTACATCACAAGTAAAGTATAAATTAACTTATGCACAAAACTGCTCAAATATTTACTCAAAATAAGGTCCTTCACCATTCTTCACGAAGTCAAGACACGCATTTTTCATATACGTTAAGTAGAGCCCTTTAATTACCTAAACTTAAATTCAAAGTCAGAGGAAGAAGTATATGCAAGTACGTGGATACGGGTGAAATGACGTCGGTGCGATGAAGGGATGTGGAGGGGTGTGGGGGGGGGGGGGGGGGGGGGGNCGAAAAGGTGAAATCATGATGGACTGACAGCCATGATATGTTCAGCTCTTGTTTCTTTCTTTTTTTGGGCGAAGATAAATCCGAGCAAACACCGGACTCGGGGAAGAAGAGTACAAGGTTGGTGGTGGTGAGGGGAAGGGATAGTGAAATCGGTTTTAATGGGGAAGGTGGGTTAAAGGAGTTAAATGCCACAAGAAGTCAGAGAGAAGACTTGTGATGAGAAAACTATACAGCTTTACAGGTTAATCACAAGGAGGTGGAGCGATAAGTTAAGATGGTGGTTGCGTTGTAGGACCTCCAAGCAACCGATCCGTTACACTCTTCTCCGAATTGCAGCTTGTCACACTGCTCTCAGCACAGGCATCAGCATCCTCTGATTGTTTAGAAGAGACTGGACCGCTGAGTCCCCTGTTCATAGAGGGTGTCATGACTATCTGTCCATTGGGCAGTTGACTTAGGGACATCTGTTGGTTATGACTGAAGTAAATAGGGGGTTGTTGATTTGGTAGAGGTGGTTGAGTAGCAAAGGGGAGAAAAGGAGAAGAAATGACACCGAGAGGAGGTACCGTTGCTACAGTGGGTAAAATGAGTGCATTTGTAGAGTTGGACGTTTTAGGGAAAAGACAGGGTGTTTGGATGGCACTTTGATGAAGGCTCGCGCTTGATATTGGGCGTCCCCTGCGAACTAGAGTCCCTGTAGCATTAGGAATTGCCATCATGGGATGGGGCGATATAGGCATAGCACCTGCAAGAGGATCCGTCATTCCAGGAACATCGTATTCATGCGTTGAGTATGCATAGTCCTGAACTGGCCAGTATGCTGGACCTGAACCGGATCCTACAGTAGTAGCCGCCTCAGCAAAGTATGCAGATTGTTGTTGTTGTTGCATTTGTTGGTGGTGATTTAGCTGCTGCACTTGAGATGGAGATTTATTCTGCTCCGAGTTCTCTACATCCCTTTTATTCTCGTCTTTCAAAAATGGTGCTATAACCTGCTTTCTCTCATACTGCAACAGGGCACTCTTTGACGTAAGAGCTTTTCGATGATAGCAGTGAGGAATGCATCTTGTTATTATACATAAGAGAATGAGGGTGGTCACAAAGGTTCCAATAATTGCACCAATGAGATCTAGAGGGGTGAACCGTCGGACAAATAGTTGTTGATAAGGGCTCATGTTGCTTGTATCCAAAGGTGGTGTGGTTGCAATTGAGTCTGTGACGGAAATATTTGGCGACGAACTCTTACCAAGGGAATTGTAACCTGGATCGTCGATGTGGAGACCACTCAAGCGGACACCAACGCGATGAGCTTTATCAGGAGACAGGGGGCCGCGAGGAACAACGGAAGAAGAGCTGGGACTCTCACTCATCCAAGCATCTTGAGAATTCGATATTGATTTATCGATGCCGGAATCCGTCCAAGCTATACAGGAGAAATCTCGAGCTTGAAACTCCCGAAGGCTGACATTCAGACCAATAGACACATCTGACATTTGCTCACTGTTCCATGGATGGACTTTAGTTGGAGACTTTACAATTCGATGCACAACTTGATTATGCTGTTGAAAAGCCCAAGCTACATTTGGAGTTGGGCGTCCTTTAGCATGGCACGTGAGTTGAACTGTATCCATGGATTTTCCAATAATGGCGATGTCAACTCCGGTAACTTGGGGTGGAGGACAGTCGAATTCACTGGGAAGAGGGAATCGTTGCATGACTAGATGCTTTGGGGCAACACATGTGAGATTTAATTGGTACATGGGTTTAAACACTTCCTCTTCCTTAGTGTCGCGTGAAAATCTTGAGGATCGAGGACCAAGAGGATCGGTGGAAGTGCCCTCCAAATATCGCCTCTGTTTTTCAAGGAGTTGCGCCAACCAAAGTAGGGAACAGTCACAAACAAGACTATTGTTTGAAAGGTCAATCGATCCCCAAGTGCCATCCGAAGGTTGAATAATGTCTGAGAACTCCTCTGAAATCGAACGGATTCGATTATTCACAAGATTGACGTGTCGAATTCCAGCCTGTTTGAGGGTGGAGTAAGAAATGAAACCAATATCACAATCTTTGGCGACAAAATTGAAAATGTTTGCCCCGGAAAATGCTGTGGTTGCGAGTTTAAGACCAATATTTCCAGAGAGAATGAGTTTCTTCAGATTTAATCCTCTAAATGTGCCCCCTTCAATGAAGGTAAGGCGATTTTTGGAGAGGTCGAGATATGTGAGTTGCTTGAGGTTATAAAATGCATCAGGATTTATCCTCTCAATACCGGAAGACGTAATTCGAAGGTATGTGAGAGTCTCCAAACCGGTGAAGTTCTCTTTGGAAAGTACTGATCCCCCGTAGGGGAAATTCGCAGATTCAATCTGGAGTTTTGAATAGAGCTTATCAGATGGAATATCCGGAGGAAGAGATCCAAAGTAGGAGGGACAGAATAGACCAAGGCTGCTTCCACTAAGCAACTCAATACAACTTGTACTTTGCCCAATTTGGCAGGCTACCAATAGCAGTATTGATATTGTTAAGATTGTTTTCATGGTCTCTATGTTATCGATTGTTCTAAAAGATAAAAAATAAAATTGAATGGATCAAGTAGTGAAAGATGCTTTCCTGTATGCTTCTTAAACCGCACATATAATTTTTACATAGCTCAATTATCTGGACGTAATCTGCTGAAGGAAGACTCAAATAAATGTAAACCATTAGAGAAGGAACTTGGACTCTCAAATACAGCAATTAATCAGGCACTGCTAGGAGTTATTTATGCACAACTAGCAATTGACGTTTATCAGTGACAACCTTTGACATGCCTTTTATCGAGCATAAAATTGCACGTTCCTAATTGGTCTTTTTTTTATTGAAGTTGATAAACTTTTCATCGTGGGCATAAAATGAACCTCGATCTACAGCTAAAAAGACAGGTTCTCAAAACAGCAACACTGAAGTAATCATCTTTGGTGGTAAATGTTTATATCAAATGGCAGGCGTTTTGATAGTTATCATTGGCCCTTAAGTTGACTTCAGCTCCACAGAGGGGAAGGAACATCGAAGGGAAAAAAGTGGAGAGGGCGGGGAGAGGGAAGGGAAGAGTGTTTCAAAGATGTTAAAGAGACAGACACAAAGGTTAAGATGAGTATTGCGGAAGAAGTCGAATATGACACGCAGTCGGGTCAAGGTAGTTTTAAGTGAGAAGTCAACTGCCAGTTAATAGACTTTTTTGCCGTACGGGAATACGTTGCCCAGGGTGCACCACGTGGAGGTAAGTCTATCACACACCCCGGTGGTAAATGTTAGTTACAAAAATTCATTCAACAGGACATTGATATGACACCTGTTCCACCTAAAAGGTTGTGGAGAGTTACTTAAAATGGAAGCCTAGTTTATAATTACTGAAGCTAATCATAAGCGTGGACTGTAGTCTAGACGCTCTTGATATCATTTGGTGGAAATATGACAATGGGGAAGGGAGTTGGAAAGAGAGCACACCTTACTATGGTGAGTTGGCAACCATCAATGATGATTAATGCACAAACACGAGAGAACGGTCTTCACTCGCCGGTGTTACAATAATTGACGCTTTTGTCTTCTAGCATGCCAAACTGTGTTGTAGAGGCAAAAAAAAGAAGAGGCAAATTTTGGTTTCCACCTGGCTATCATTTTGTCCTGAAATGAGTAATGTTCTTCTACGGTAATTTTGATTAATTTCTCGGAAAAGCATTTTCAACCAACTCGAGTTGCGAATTAATTTGGAATTGCAGCTGGCGAGGAGGGGAAACAGAGTATGGGAAGAAAAAGGGTAAATGAATTTTAAAAAGTGGAAAATGGAACAATTTTGGCGCACCTAATTTTCGCAAACACTTCCAAATTGTTTTCTTTTTGAAGACCATTTACGAGTCATGTTTATAACAAAGGAAATAGAACTCCACTGTGGTTTTAACGAAAGCATTGTATATTAATGAGTAAACTGAATTTGAAATACCCTTATGCATAACTTATATCATTTGTAAACGATTCGCATTCAGACAGTCATTAACGACTTTTAGTAAAAAGTGACTTTTCTTGAATATTTACATTTGGTGCCACTTTTTTAATTGTCTATAACGTCGAGAAACATCGTAGCCTTATGACAAGCGGATGTTTAAATTACAAAATCATAAACTGTCCATAAACAGAAACGTGCACTTCAAATGGCGCTGAAGTTCTCCGTCTTAGAAACCACAAATAAACAACGACGAGTTTGCGCGAATGTGTGACTAAAATACAGGCGTGTAATCTGAGGTGGAGAAAGTTTTATTGCTGCAAACGAAGTGCCTGTGGATTGCAGCAACAGAATTTCACGTGCCCCAGAAACAAGTAATTGTCACGGTTTGTTAACCCTGTGAACTTGAAAATTAATATATAACCCCCACTGAGAGGTTTGAAATGCGGTCGTTCTCTTGGTGATGTGGAAGGTGAAAAGGTGGGGGGGGGGGGGGGGGGTTGAAAGGTTGAAGATGCGTCACCTCAAAAACCAAAATTTTGATGGCCGGATGTCACGAGCATTACTTTTAATAAAATTGCGTCTTTTTAATTGCTTGACAGATGTCAACTCTTAAAAGCAAGAAAAACTTTGAAAAATTCTCGTTTTACATCATCTAATGACAGATATATATTTCATTTAGTCTCTTGCATAGGAAAAGTTCTTCATGAATTTCCAGTACTAAGTGAAAAAAGTTTATATTACATTCCCTCAGCTTAAATTGATATTGAATTTGAAGGTGAAGAATTGGTGGGTCCAAATTGGTAGCAAGTCAGTATCACGAAAAATGAATTTACTTAAACACCGTACATAATCGAAGGCCCATTTACATCATGTAAGACTTTGCCATCTGAATGTATTAGTATTTATAGGGAAAATATATATATATATATATATATATATATATAATATCTAATAATCAAGTTTTTAATATTGGGAAAGATAACATGTGAATAAGATAAATAGGCGAAAAAAACAATTCCATGAATTCGTCTGTCAAAAAATTGAATTCACGACATCGAAAAGCACATGCATCTAAATACAAATACAAATGTCCACATTTGAATGATTATTGAGCTAATTTGCAGCTGCAGTTGCGTAATGACACGAACAGGTGCTTAATGAGATGTTTCCCAGGTTGGAGGGGGGGGGGGGGGGGTTGCTGCGAGAGGGTCTTTATCAAATTCCCTTAATTAAACAAATGACTCATCAATCATTCACTCAGCAGGATACCATCTAGTCTGCAATGACCCTTCCACTCGAATGATACGAAAAGCGATAAAACTACGGAGAAATAGGCCTCTTCATTGCCATTTAAAAACCTTAATTAAGAAGACTACCAGTGTCTCAGATATTACAAATAATGCGATAAATCAGATTATTTGGCTGGCGGGTACAGAGAGCAAAAGTGTTTCAGAAACTCTTAAAGGTACTGGTACATCGAGACTATGATGCCTCTAATAATGGCGCTTGTAGACTTCACTTCTGTTGAAAATAGACTAAAAGGTGTAACGCAGAGAAATTAATCCTCGTTTAGAACTATCTTATCAACGAGACGGAGACAGTGGTAATGCAGGAATCAACATGTTGCGTGCTAAGTAGCCATTAGATATGGCCCGATTAGATGTAAATAAACTATAGATAGTACCCCCCTCCCCCAACCTACCTGCTTCGCTTTCTCTGCTACAACAATCAACCACAATGGCGCTAACTTGTGACAGCCATTCTAGAGAGGAGTGGTGCTTAAATGCGCCAGCTTTTTAGTTGTTTAGGGTCTTTTTAGTTTGGGTTATGGCCGCCAGCTGACGTAAGCTTCTGCGTGCATCTGTGTTAGCAAATGACTAAATAAAAGCCAATCTGGGGGGTGACAAATATACACACCACGAAGCCTTGGAGGATGCTATGACCCAATAAAAAGAACGTGTCTGAAACACTGCCCTAAACCCTCCTCCTCAGTCCGATTTAGTTAGTTTGCCGTCAGGAGTTTTGGCAGTCCTGAGTTGGAGGTATTATTTCCACAAATTCGATGCCTAACTGTTAGAATCTGCCTGGAATGTCAGTTTATTTCCCACATATATATCGGCGTGGATAGTTACCTATCTTTTCACCGGAATGAACCTAATCAAAGATAGCTCCAAAGCTGCAATGATTCAAATACCCACCTATATTATTCAATTTTTAATTAGTCTGGGCATTTTTCAGGCATTAAAGAGGGACTATTTGTCGAGCACAGGAGCTAGACACCTCCGAAAAAATGGGCATCTTAATCACCTAAAAATTACCGTTCACGTAAAAGAGGCAAATAAATTAGCTCAAAAAAGCGGCGCAGAGCATTTGCTGTTGTTGACTTTTTAAAATTAACTGAAAAAAACGCGGGTCTGAAATTGTGAGTGGCACGCAGATGTCATTAGGCGTAAGAACTCCCCCTGAGAAACACAATTTCCACCACACAGCGACTTCAAAGGCACTTAAAGCGACAGCAATACGACGAATTATTCTTTAACCGCTTTAAACACAAAAGTGGAAATAAATTCCACCTGGTATTTTACAGCAAATCGGGGGGGGGGGGGGGTTGAAAGCCAGGTTTCTGTAGTGACCTTTGCGTCAGTCAAAAGTAGCTGTCACTGACATGAAGTGATGTGTGTATAAATTTCATTTTGTTTTCAGACATTAAAATACTCTAATGACAAAATTTTCTGAGAATATTTTCCCACAATAAAAAGGGGAAACCAGCACCTTAGGAACTAGAATACGAGCAAAGGATTTTGTTGTATCGAGGGCCTCCCCCATTTCCGCCTTGTAATTATACTTTCCACTCCAACTCAGGTGATTTGGATAAGGGGTTTGAATGTCACATGAAGAAATGGAGCATAGCTAGCTGTGGAAATTCCCCTAATTCTAACAGTTGTATTGTTAAATAATAGACCAATCAACAACTTCGACTTTAATTGGCATATTATCGAAGATATTAAGCTAACGTTTAATCGTGAGTAACTTTAACGTTATAAAGCCATAAATAAATTTATATATATATATATGCCTTTCAGGAGATTTTCAAAACTGTAAGTTGAGTGCTGGAATCGCTTGCACATGGGCGGAAAAAAGAACATGCAGCTGGAGAGGTTTATATCGACTATGTCGACTTCGGTACTTTTATATCCCATCTGAACCACTTTCTTTCCTTCTCACTTTGAATACTCGTTTAGAATATGCCTTGCAAGGAGTTTTAATAACTTTAGAATGTCAAACGAGGAGGAGGAGGAGGAGGGAAACACTCGTTGAAACGGTGTAACGAAAGTTAAATCGAATGGAAAATGCGCCACTTAGTGACGTTGCAACCCCACCTCTCAATGTTTTATACACCCTCACAGCATCGTCAAAAATGACAGAATTTTGATCGCAATTGTTAAGCAAACTATAACCTCCCGCATTAAGCCTGACAATGCTCTTGTCTCATATTAAGAGAAAAACAAACAAACAAACAAACGAATAAACAAAAACGCTTATGAAATAATGCCA